GAAATTGCACCATTAACCCTTATTTAACGATATTTAAAATGAGCCTGATGAGGGGGCACCATTGAAAAAAGAATTAATATAGTAAATAAAAGAATATACAGGAGATGTGAAACTCTGTGTTTCTGGAAAGTAGTATATGCGAGGAGTCTCTTGGTTTACAAATGTTGAACCTTTAAAGGCGCAGACCGACTCAAGGTAGCCACAGCTGATGACGTAAAGACTGTCATTGAGAAAAATTTTTAATCACCAAAACTTAAATAAAAGAAACAAAAAGTACTCCAAAGTTAGTATGCTAAGAGAAAATCAGTTTTTCTACATAAATTAGCAAGCCCTTAAAAGCGTTGTCCAAGTATTAAAAAGCATGAGAAAAAACTGAAATCAGGAAGATGTAAGAATAAAAAGTGGAAATAAATGAAGGCCTGAAAAGGCAATACCTAGCCTTCGGGATAGTGATGCATTTTTTTGCAAAAAGGTGAGTATAATATTGTCTATAAAAATAAAAAACGTACCCTTCAACAGATGAATGAATTGCATCACAGGTTTTTAAAAAAAGGGCCAAATTTTCACTTGGATGCTTATCATCGGTCGCCTCTTCTGGGAACAGAGTGATTTAAAGGAAACAAAAAAGGGCTACGTTTTAATGCTGCAACATTGTCATCATAAGTGAAATATACTACAATGTGGAATATGAGAAAGTAATATCTAGGATCAAACGTGTTACAGAGAAAAATTTAGGAGGCAAGACGACGGTCGCTTACAAGATACAGTAAAATTATTAATAATATGGTATAATCTTAAGGCCTACAACAGATCAAAGAAACTTCCCTCCGCAGATAAGGATGTTATCTGTGTAAAAGAACTAAAATTAACATAAGGTATAATGCTAGACAAATTTTATTGTTTATGGCTGCTACATATTCGCGCAATTAAAGTAGTCACCGTCGAGGAATCTTCAGCTCGAACGATCATAAATATAAAATGAGTTGAACCGTATAAAGATACGCTGTTTATTGTTATGCTTTACACTAAGTGCTCCTTCAGTCTGATCTCCTGTCATGGTCGATGTTTATAAGTCGATACCAATAACGAAATTCAAAATAAAGTGATGCACACCAATCTCTAATCAAAGGGAAAAAATCATATTAAATAGTGCTGGTCCCAATTTTAAGTAAGGATGTTTGTCTCATCTTCTATTTTGTCAGCAGATTTTCCAATTTTTCTGCCTTCATCTCACAAATATCATCAAAAAAAAACATTCACTATTGTTGATGATAGCCCATGGTAAGTCAAGCAGAGATAAGCTGAACTAGCTAGGCTTGCTAGACAAGATACAATATGACGTTAGACCTCATTATGCAATTGATTTGCCTGCAGTCCAGCAAAATCGAGAAATTCATTCCAAGCAAAAATGCTACATAGGTATAGAATGAAATTTTCGTTCTAATTTGTATTGAGCAAGATTAGATAGCCTAAATTAAATTACATATTTAATTTTTTCACACTATTTTGTTGGAGATCATAATAACTTTTCGAGACTTGTAAGTGGATAAAACAGAGAATAATAAAACTAAGCGGAACAGCCACTTATAATAGTTTCAATACAAATGATGAGAATTTAATGTTTTCCGACAAAATGAAAAAAGAAGGCTAAGATTTTATGTAAGAAAGAAAGGGTATTTATCCTATTATCCTAGAGGTCGCGAAATATGGAAAGAGATACTATATTTAGCATCGTTAGCAATTTTATTAAAAAACGAAAACCGCAACTGCTTGAACTTATTTTCGCAACCTGGTCATGTTGACAGGAAGACCTAGAGGAAAGCACCTAGCATGAAGTCCATATTGGAGATACAAGGATATAGGATGGGTGAATGCACCAGTAAAAAAGAAGATACCACACCTGTTTGGCAGACAATTGGTCAAAAGATCGACCTCACTTGTCTCTTTGACGAGTTTGATGTAGCGCTAATACTTGCAAGGGTCACTGATTATGCTGAATACGATGTCGGTGAAAGGTCTTTGTATGTATCAAATTCACTATCCGGTTGGAAATTATGATGGACGTCATGGACTCGGGAGTAGGTGCGTTTCTCTAGATCTTTACGCCAATATAACCAAGTTGCAAAAATAAGAAAAAACAGTCACTATACAACGAAAGGAGACCGCGACCGCACTATCTCGGTCATCGGATATTTAGTAAAACCATAACGAGGGATTACCTTAACTTTTTTAACAGAAAAATAAGCAAGTTTAAAGTCTTGACATCCAAATACGCGAAAAATAATATTTATAAGAGAATGTAATGAGCCTGAATGGAACAATTCACTGAATGTTACCAAATTTAAATATGATTGGTTCATCATGAGCAAAATTATGATCAAATTCAAAAGGCGACTTAAAAGCCAATGATAATACAGAAAAACTTCAGCATCACTACTATTACACACCTACTAAACATCCAATTGGGGTTGATAACGGACTGCCTTGAAAAAGATCACTAAGATAGTTAATGATGCTCATCTCTAGCTAATGACCCGCCCTTAATAATAACATTAAATTTAATTGCGTATATAAAATAATTCCGATTGCTTAATTTTAAATTTGTGAATGTTTGATATTTAGAAGATTTTGCTTATTCTAATTTTTGTTATAATGAAGCCGAATAAGCCGCTGCATCCAAATAGCCGAAAGGCTGCGCGCGTTGTTCACCAGCTCCACCGAGAGAAAAGGCTAGAAAAGTAATTTAACATAAACTCTACAATGTTTTATAGAATACATAAGATAACGACCAAAAAGAAGCGTGTCGAGCGTAAGTTGAGCCTTGATATTACATTAGGAAAAGAGCTTAAGGTCTTATGGTTCAGGAATCACCTATCGGACAAGCCTGTCTACACTCTTGATGAACTCCACACTCTCATCAATAAGTATGATTTTCTGAGAAAAATTTGATCTATACAGTTACCTATCAAGATATAATTCTCAAGTTCCTCTCTGTGAACGTAATGGACCCTTATCAGTCACATTGGATATGACACACAGTTTTGTCGAACAGGAAAAGTTAGAATACTCTACATGTGGATTAAAAGTTCCAGATCTCACATCAAAGTGCAACCTACATACTTTAAGGTACAGTGATTCATTCATTTACATGTGTTTTAGATTGTGGCAAGGTGATTTGGCAAGCCTCCCAAGTATTTCCATGAAAAGTATAAAGCGCAAATAGTAAATATTTCTTTATTTCAAGCATTGATTGACTTTCTTGTGAACTGAAATAAAAGAAGAGTTAAGTGTTCGTAGTGCATTATTATTGAAAATTACAAGCTATATTGCCCATATTTACCTTCGCAGTCGTTTACTGATTGAGCACAACATATCAAACATTCGGAGTTTGAACAGTGTTTACTCTGTTTAAGACAAAAAAAGCGTTTGAAAAGATTATCAAATAATATTGGTCATATATGCATATATAAACAAAATGAAGGTTTATACAAATCATTGCTCACTCGCTTGTTCATCATGCACGTTGTACAAAATTCATGGCGCTGTGCGCCGAGCCTTAAAGTATGCTTCCTTTTCTCCGCCATCCTGGTTCGTTTCTCGATTTTTCTTTTCTCTCTTTCTTCTTGCAACCTCTTATGCTTGACCGCCAACATACAAGATTCCATCTCGTGTTGGGTGGTATCTCCAGACGTATTTTCATCTAATGCACTCAGGTTGCAATTTATCTCTGGCTCGGCAAGTAATATATCCCCCCGCAGGTAGGCTTTGCATGTCCAATGTAGGTTATATGGACTTCTATCTGTCGCTTTGCACACCTAAATATTGATGTAAATTAAAAGCACACTTATTATCTGTGCTTAGAGCAAGCTCTGGGATAGTGGGTGGTGTCTGTTGCAATAACTTACTATAATGAATTGGCGCATTTTTCTGCGGGCTCATTTATTTATCAAAGGTTTCCATAATGAAGTAATAATAAGATTGGAAATAGTGACTACCATAAAACCAGGTAAAGTTAGTATCTTCTGATCTTTCATCTGTCTGGTAAGAATCTACATATATTGGGTTGGCTCTAATAGTTAAAGTCAAATATACTTACGGAACACTTTTCCTCCATCCGCCGTATGGCGTCTTCGAAGTCGTCTAAGTCTTTGCAGTCAGCAAACTGCGGCCGGAACTCAGTGTGGACATTTAGGCTGAAAATATAGAGTTTAGCTGTTAAGGGCTCATTGAGAACATTGGGTTAGGCTGTATATAGCTTGCATATTAGTGGCTGATGTGCTTTTGAAGGTACAATCGCCAATTTATAGGAAGCCACTAGTTGGCGGGTCTGTGAAAGCATCCTTTATTTATGTGTGGAGGACGCGAACAATGCTTTAGCCATTTGACTTCTACCAGGTGATATTTTTTACATCACTCCATAATAGTGTGTGTAAATGGAAGTCTGTCGACCGAATATTCGAACCAAAAACCTGGTTGAGCAATTGTAGGAAATTTCGCTCTCAAATAAGGCATTTTCCCAAGAAAATTGCCCAAACTGTATTTTCTGCTAGAAACAATGCGATTAACTTCCGAGTTTTCCTCCTTACATTGATAGTTGAGCAGAGATCCAGTCGCTGTGGTTGTGCCTTTAAGTTTTACACAGTAAAATGACTAATTATTGGGGGCCTAGTTTGTAGCTTATGCCTCACTTGGACTTCCTAGATGACCAAGGCCGGTTGCTTGAGGCGCAAGACTTGCGTCTTGGATCGGAGACCCGTAATCTTTTAGTTACGCATAAAATTCCTCTGTATGCAAGCATGTTTACAAAAAAATTGTTGATTCGAGGGCTGATAAGTAAATCTTAGACAAAAGACCTCGTGATATTAAAATTCTTCAGTAGCTTGCTTTTCCATCCGTGGCGGACCACAGTTTCTACCCCGCCTTGGCTTTATCGGCACTAATCGTGTTTTGGAAATCGGTAATGTGCAGTGGATAACGGGCCTGGTGTGGCCTTCAAGATGAGAAAGTATACGCCCAGAGTGGGGCGATACTACACTGCATGTGGAGGTTAAGCGAAGCTATATTCAACGGAGGGGAAAGGTTTATCACTGCGGTGATTGACAAATGACGTGTGATAAGCATCTAAACAATATGGAATAGGCTAAGTAATTATCATTTATTCATCACAGAATAAGTTAAAAACCTAATCTTATTATTAATAAAATTTTTATGGGACCACATTGGCTCAGATAAACGAAGAGACTTACGCATCTCGGCACAATTTAAAGACATGTCCCCGAACGGAAGAAATTGGGCTGGAATACATGCGTGCCAGTTCCAAGTATTCTTTGCATATTGCATAAACTTGCGGTTGAATGCCGGCAAACAGTGCTGGGTTGTAAAGATGTCCTTCTACAAAATATATAGGAAATAGAGAGTAGGCAAAAATAAGGAAAATTTGTATTTACATTCATTTACAAAGAAAAATAAAGGTTTATTCCACAAGTACTTGTCGAGTTCCAGTCTTCAACTACAACCTTGGCCTCGATCCTCATACTTTGTTCATATTAGTAAGGAATGGGAGCATAAGTACGCACGATGGGTTTAGCCTGAAGGAATTTCTTGGTTTATATCTATTGAGCTCCCTTAGATTGCAAATGAAAGTGTGTGATAAAGGAATCTCACTAGAAGACGAAAGCGGAGTCCTCAGCCACTTTGCAATTTGCTTTACCGAAAAATTCCTTTTGGCACCGTCCGCCAGGTAATATCCTTTGGTAACGATAGAAAGTGTCGGGCCGTTATACGAATATGCTTTTAAGAATGATACCCTGCTCAGATGGCATGCCAGATGAAAGTTTGACATGTTTTCACCGTAATCGAAAGAGATTACTTCAGGGAAATCGTCAGCAAGAGTGATCAAATAAATTCAAATGATTAACAGGGATTCGTTTTCTTCTGGTGAGATCGACCTTCAAATCTTAACTCACTTTCAGTCAAAGTTGGTAGGTTCAACACATAGTCATACCAAAAAGACAAATAGTTATTTAAAGAGACTCAGCCCAAGAAAAACCAATTCAGAGAAGTGTTGTCAACCCTAGACATTTCACATACACTTTATATGATATATATTCACCCTATTTCGTTTATTGATGAATTTTCCCACAATGC